CAAGTTTGACATGTGTTCTTCCCTTTTATGGAAGTAAAACAGCAAACTATGGCAAAAATGCACAGTTTGGTCTGTCTTCAAGCTTTTGTAAAATCTCCAAAACTCAACCAAATCACTGAATTATTTTTTAGAATGAAGCTAGAACTGTCAACTGTCAAATGACATAGCAATAACATAGAGGTGAATGACTTTAGTACTTCCAAAAATGAACTAGTGCCATCTGTCACAAACATGTGTCATGACTTTTCTGACAACTCAATAAATTGAAGGACAGTGACTTGAGTTGGAGCTGATGGGTCCTGGAAAACGCACACTGTTACCCAATAAAAAATTAAAAAACAAAAAAGCTCCTTGATAAGTGATTCACAAGAAGTGCCCTTGTTATCGAAATGTCTGTGCACACAGGTGTTTTAAGTAAACAAACCCAGGGCTGTGTGAAAGCTACATCATAAACAGGGCTGCCACTTGGCTGACCCAACATGCTGCCAGGAGCAGATGGGGACAGGCAGTTTACAGACTCTCCCATCTTTATGGTACAATAAAAATATTGATTCCGCACTCTGGGTGTGACCATGGCAGTCTGGAGTCATTTAATTTTAATATGACCCTCCAAGACAATTCAGCATTAAATAGTGATTATGTTATTCAGAGGAGTACAGGTTGTTATATATAGATTCACAGACTGTCAGAAATAGAAAGGGCCTTAGAGATCATTTTCTTCAGGCCCCTCCCTCATTTCACAGATTAGGAATGCCTAAAGGAAGACAGGGACTTGTTCAAGTCTTCCCAGCTATTCAGGGGTAGATTCAAGGGTGGACTTTGAGCCTCCTGACACCACAATTCTCCAACATTCTGGGCAGCAGCCAATAGCCACGCCAAGGGCCTGACCTGCAGCATGCTTTCCTGCTCAGACGGAGTAGCAATTCAGCGCCGCACTGCCTAAGGTAGCACTGAGCTCCTGTCCAGCTGCGCCCAATGATGCTCTAAAGACCTGCAGGTCCTTCCCACACCATCTGCCTTAGCAGGCACTTATCTCCATCCAGGAATTCTCATGTACATTTTAATGAAACACCAATACAACCACCTGAAAGAAGTGAAAACACCTACCAATTCAGCAATTATTCCATCTTCAGTCCACTTCATTGAATCTCCAACCCTCCCCATTTACTAACTGTTATCTTCTTTGGCCAAAATGGCTGTGGACCCAAAGGTGCATGGAATCTATCATTTCACCTAATTTATGAAGGTTTTATTTTGGGTCTTATTTGACAAATGTGATAATA